CTTTTGGTCGCCTCAGCTTTCGAACCTCAAAATTGGTGGAATCAAGTACACAGGATGCCTTACACGTCGGTGGCTGGTGTAAACCGTGCACGCAACTCAATACTGCTGCGTTTATGGTCTCTTGAGTGTAATTCTGAATGTCATTGGTGGTTCTTTCAGAAGACATCAGGCTCAACTGTCGGGACTCGATGGCACTGGTGTGATTAGTTCTTTGCTTCGTACCCTCCTCAGATTCAGAAATAACATGCTGAGGATCTAAGTGGCTGTGGCACCAAGGCACCGCACAGCAGGGCGAAGGTGGCAGGACCTCGCCGTTGAATCAGCTTTCTCTCCGCCTGACGGATCGGAGAGATGTTTCGATCTTAGACGCTTTGCGATCGGATGATGAGTGCAGCAGCTTGATGAACCCATGTTGGTCATTACGATGTCATGTCGCTTGTTGGATGTTTGCGCAGCTAGTTCTTTGCTAGTTCTTTCTGTGGACGGGTTCGACTGCCCCGACGGCTCCCTTGGACAGAGGGGATGCAAGGTTTTGATCTAGTTGAGCCTTCAAGCCTTAAAGTTCATTTGAACACTTCAAGTGCATCAATTGTATATGTATCACTCCTATGCCTTTGCCCTCCCAATCCAGCACGCCCTCAAGCAGAGCGGTTGCCGTCTCACTCCGTCGATGCAAAAAAGCTGCAAAAAACTGCTGCTGGGTGTGTGTACCATCGGAGTTTCAGGTGCACAAAGCCAGGCATTGAGGCAAGGCAGGCCGTCGGCAGCAGGCCGTTTCCGGTGGTTTTTCCAAGGTCCCTTTTTTTGGCCTACCAGTTGCAGGCCGAGTCTTTTTAAATCCGGGGAAGTCCGGGGAACCAGTCTCAGACTTCGACGATCACTTGCCACGCCGGAGGATCAAAGGCCCGTGTTTCGGTCTTCATGTCAATATCTAAATTGCGTATTTTGTTGTATTTGGTTATCCCCCCAAAACGTAGCCTACAGTGTCCTACAGGCTTTTGACCCAGACCCACATCATGATTTTGGCCATTCCGCAGTGAATGAATGGCTCGAGGGGAGCTGGGAGTTCAGATTGATTGTCACTGAACCTGAGCTATGGTGAAGAATGTCAAGAGCGAGGCGGGACCAGCTTTGGGATCCATCGAAATCCATCATTCTTGTTTGTGTCGTGCACAATGCCGGATAATTCGTTTCTTTCTTCACATTGGGTCTTTCTTGGCCTAATGTGATTGTGTCGAGTCCTGCTTTTGATGGATGCCTGCTTGTCGCCAGGAGAAGTATCAGAACTTCAGTGACAGCTCTATGAGAGTGTCCTGGCTGCAAGTCTATGACAGCTCGGTGGCAAATGCCTTTGGGGGTGCCCCACGGGACTTGCAAAGAAATTGTTTGACTGTGTACTCAAACAACAAGGGCTTTTGTGAGGTGTCCATGAATGGCCCCAATTTTGGGGCGTTCGTGAAACAAACCCTTAAAGGTCTTGGTGTGGCACTCTTGAAGGTTTTGGTGTGGCACTTCCTACTTAGCTTTTTGCTTGTTGGTTTCAAAGAGAATGAAGTTGACCCTTCAATACCCTTCATGTTCCCAAATCGCAAGTCTTCTTCGGTAGGCAAAAGCGCCTTGAATTTCTTTTGCAGATCGTCCGGTGGAGGCAGATCAAACATCCCAGCTGCCTCTTCAGAACCCAGTTTCCACGCATGGGACTTTTTACAGAGTTTGATTCAATGTTCATACGGTTCCCATTGGTTCCATGCTTGAAATCCTTTACATATGAAACTCTTATTATAGTAAAGTTCCATTGATTCATGTCCCAATGTGACTGCTTCGTTCCAAAAAAGGCCACACGCTTCCAGGTCCCCCCCTTCTCCGCTCTCCGCCACACCGAGGACCGCGTGGCGGCGGTGCACGCGCACGAGTACACGGTCACCGCGGACCCGGATGACCCCGCGCAGCAGAGCTCGGGGTTCACCTCCAGCGGATGGGACAAGCGACTTGGGCCGAGCGACTCGGGGACTGGGGGAAGCGACGTGCGCTTCCGTGGGTGCGGATGCGGGTGGAGGATGTGCCGGCTAGACTCAGATCTGTGCTGGAAGTCGGGATCTGCAGCGTGCGATCTGGAGGTTCTGCTGAAGTCCCGATTCATCCAGAGGGTTTCAGCTTGATGTAGACATAGGGGCATAGGGAGCGGTCAGCTGAAAACCCAGGAAGTGACGGGATATCAAACCAAACTCATTTTTTAACATGTTGTATATAAGCAGTTTGGAGCGAACCGGCCTTAGGTATTACTTCTTCAGCAACCCGGCCAGCTGCGCCGGTCCTGGCAAAGGAGACTGTGCGGCAAAATGGTGGTTTGAAAGGCTAGCTGCTTACTAGCTTCCTCTTAGATAGATAGATAGATAGATAGATATATATATATATATACAAACATCTGAGCATAAACCAGCAAGCCCTTCCAAACCCACTTAGTGCGTGGAAAGCTTCATAAGAGACCTCTCTTTGCTCCTCTCTTTCCTCCACGCCTTCCATCCCACCGCTTCCCGCCCTCCACCCCTCCGCCCTCCACCCACCGGCACCGGCACCGCAGGAAACCTCCACCCCACGGCACGCCTGGGGCGCAACCGGCCGGCCATGAACGGCCCTCAGACCTTCACGATCGAGGCCTTCACTCCGGAGGAGCCCCATTGGGGACGGTGCGGTGGGACGGGGACGGGACCCCGCCACACCGGGCACGATGGGACGGAGCCACGTAATTACGTGGTTCTCAAATGGAAAATGCACGAAGGACGTTGTAAGGTGGTTCTAGGATGTTCTAGGTGGTTCTCCTTCTTGAACTTCTCTTTGGTAAAGAGGTCAGTCCATGTAGATCTTTTTGTTGTTTCTTCCGACGTGGAGTGTGTCAGATATTTTTGAGTACGCATACGGACGGACAGAGTTGCGTCCGTTGACTTGTTGCTGTTTGAAAGTCACACAGTGTGACTGCTGATGGAAGACAGACACTGGCACCACCTATTTCATATGATTTCAACATGTGTGCTGTTCGGAAGGCACCGGCACCAATTTTCCATAATTTTCCTCACATCCAAACTGACAGTTTCATGGTCCTTCTGCCAAAGAAGGAAGGAAGGAAGGAACTATAGAACTAGGCGTCCTGAATGGTAAGATCTATTGACAGGGCAACATAGGGCAACCCTTTGTCCGCTTCTGAGCATATCTACTTGGTGTCATGAGGGATGCGGACGATGTAATCTGTGGAGGAGTTGAAGCTGGCCCGCATTCGGATCGAGAAGAAGGGCGCCCGGACCACCTACGCCGAGTCCTACAGCCAGTTGCCCAGGACAGGCCCAGATTGGTCGTTTGGTGGTCACAATCGGAAGCTATGATAGGAACCAAATTAGATAGCAATTGCAAAGATCACGCATGCTGGACCCCAGTTCCCAACACATGTTTGAAGAGCACGCGAGAACACATTCCTATATAGTTTGGTGCCCTTTTTGTTTCCAAACTATAAAGTTTATTCATCATATCATTCCTAAACACCTATGACTTGGTACCCTTCTTGTTTCCAATGAAGTTTGTTCTCTGCATGCCCCCCTGCATGGCCTCCAGCCACTCACGGCTCCAACCGGACACGAAACCGGAGACGACGCGCCAGGAGTTCCACCTCGGTGATGGGGCCCATCGAACGCCCCAGCGGGCACCACATCATGAAGCAAGCAGCCGCCACAGGCGGCGGGTCTCCGCGCCCGGAGCCGCGAGGGGTCGGAGACGTCTCCGCCCCAGGGGTCTTGGCCGCGGAGCCCAAAGGTCTCGCTGTCGACTTCAGTTGACCACGTCTTGGGTGCTGGAGATCGGCCAAAAGAGTGCTGAGAGCTAGTCAGTCTCTTTTGGGGGGGTCAGTTTGGGTTGTCAAGTGCTTTGGAACAGATACATGTTGTATCGTTTTGTGGACTCTTAGGTCATGGCTTCGGCCCAGGTGCTTTAACGATAAAGATAAGAGTATTGTACCATAAGAATCCATAAGAGGGTTTATAGTGATGGACTAGGTCAGACTATTTGTTGAGTTTTTGTTATACAATGTGTGAATTGTGCGCCGCACATCATGTCAGGAGTCACTTTTTACGTTCGATCGCGCGCCTCAAACCTAAGTGGAGGGCGTGCGCACCTCGAAGCCATGTGGATGCGAAAAGGGCCGTAGGTGAGCGGCCGACGACACTTCGAACTTCGACCAAGGACTTAGTGAACCTGGAACCGGTTGGACGCTCCCGCTAACCAACATTGGTAGCGGAGCGCTGGTTGCGCTCGCGCTCTGATGCCCGGCGGCGGCGGAGATGGGCCTACAACCTCGGGTCCATCTACTACAAGTTCGGTGGCTGGTGGCACCATCGAAACTATGAAAGACACGTTCATCCCTGTCTTCAACAACAAGGTCTCCGACTACCGTGAATGGCGGCAAAGGATCATGCTTTACAAGAAGAAGCTCACGCTCCAAGGAAAAGAGAAGGAAGCGATTCTGAACTTGCTGACCAGCCTTCATGGGACGCTATCAACTGAGCCGGAAGTCGGACCAGACGCTCCTCTCATACTGCACGGAACACAGAGAGCAGCTTCGTGAGATCGAAAAACACGGAGTCCGCATCCCTGACAGCGTGTCAGGGTGGATGCTGCTCAGGAGGAGCAACTTGACCCAGGAACAGAAACACCTAGTGCAATCTCAGGTTGGGCAACCATGGAGGCGACGAAGGTGGAGGAGGCCATGTATTACCTGTATGGACAGGACTTCAAGACGAAAGCTGATGGTCAGCCTCGCTGGAACAAGAACCTCGCAAAGAAGGGGCCAAGATGGTATCCACGAAAGCATCAACAGGGCTACACCGCAGAGGAGTATGACCCAGAGTTTGTCGAGGACTATGAGGATGCCTATGCCTTGGATGAGGAGTTCCTTGAGGATGAACAGGCCCTGGACTATGACGACGATCCTGAGAGCGCCTACGGCGTCTTTGAGGACGAGGCCTATTACCAGGAGGAACCATGGCCTGAAGACCCTGACCCGCAGCTGGAAGAGGCCTATGCCACCTACTTGGATGCAAGAAGACAGTTTGCCAACTTGAAAGCAGCTAGGGGCTACTATCCAGTGGTGGCACTCACCACCCCTACTGACTTGCCAGGTGCCTCAAGTTCATCTACACTGCAGCAGCGGCCAGTGACAAAGGGCTCCAAGGGCAAGAAGGGCAAGAGCAAGGGCAAGTCACCACCTCAGAAAGGAGGAGCACTTCAGCGAGGGAGAACGGCATTGGAGACCATGCAATGCTTCAAATGTGGCCACTACGGCCACGCAGCTGCAGACTGCCCAATGAACAAGGGGTCCCAGTCACCAAAGAAAGCCAAAACTGAGGGATCGCCCAAGGGTTCCGGTCAGGCCTACATGATGCACGACCTCCAACAGAAGAGCACAACAATGCTGTCCGAGCAAGGATGGTATGGACTACAAGATGGAGGAGCGAGCAGCATGGTTTGTGGACATGAGACCCTGATGCATATCATCGAGTTCATGCACAACAAGGGCGTTCCAGTGGAGCGTTATACCTTCCACCCAACCACCAAGCTCTTTGGTTTTGGAGGTGACGCCACCCGAAAAGCAGACTGGACAGTGCGCCTGCCGGTCTATGTCAACGGAGCCTCAGGACTGATCGAGTGCTTCCTGGTGGATGGAGCAACCCCTCTTTTGATCGGAAGACCAATTCTGAAAGCCCTGAAGGTGAAGGTTGACTGGGACAAGGACCTCATTTGCTATGGAGACACTGCCTGGCAGCCTGCGGTACGAGGCGAGCGGGGAGAGTACCTCCTACGCCTTGATGATGGAGTGGAGCAGGACCCTATGGGAGTTAACGTGTTCTTTGATTTGGTGACAACCGAGACCTACGAGATGGTCCAAAGAACAGGTGTGATGCACTCCTCGACCTACACGTTGCTTCAGTACTTGGAGGCAACTGGTCGTGAGCTCCCTGAACATTGTCTGCAAGCTGATGACGAGAATGTCACGAATGAGGAGCCGACAGGTGAAAGACCTCTGGCCCTCCAAGATGAAGAAGAGACCGCAGCAGTTCGAAAAGCCATCACGGACAAGTTGCTGAGAGGCATTCGCTTTCATCATGCGACGATGTTTGCGCATCGCAGGACAGTCTTGGAACAAGGTCTCCGAGCTCATGAACAAGGAGCCAAGGTGTTCTGGGAAGTCTACTCCGGAGAAGCAGGCTTGTCCATGGAGATGCAGAGGCGCGGCTATGTCGTCTTCAGCTTCGACCTCAATACTGGTTGGGACTTCGACATGCCCGAACACAGGAACTCGTACTACAAGCTTCTGGAGGACATTGCTCCTGACTTTGTCTGGGTAGCCCCAGCATGCAAGAAATGGTCGAAGATGCAGGCCCTCAACATGCTGACACCAGAACAGACCTTTGCACTGAAGTGTGAACGAGACTACGAGGAGGCAGTCCACCTGAAACTGGCTGAGAGGACCTTCGCCATACAGTATAATGAAGGCAGAGATGCTGGAATTGAGCACCCAGCCTGGTCAAAGGCATGGGAGACCGTCACCTGGAGCAACCTTCCTGGATGGCCATGCCGGCTGGACCAGTGCGCCTATGAGACCAAGATCGCCGACCAGTACATCAAGAAGCCCACACGCCTGCAGTTGACAAGTCCTTCCATGGTAGACATGCTTGCTTGGATCCCTGACAAAGGCAGCTGGAGCCTACCAAGAGACGTTCTGTTACTGGATCGGTGAGGCAATCGACTTGCTGTACTATGAGCCCGAAGAGATGGCGATGACTGGAGATGATGATTTTGGTGATGAGGAATACACTCCAACAATCGCCGACCACCACCGTGAGGATGAGCCCAATGCCAACTCTGCTCAAACTACACCTCGGGGGAATGATCCATCACGTGATGGCCCTCGAGGAGGACAGCAAACACAAACTGGAGTTCTGCAAAGATTGCAATCACCGGACAGTCAACAGGCAAAGAGGACGATCAGCAGGCTACATCGCAATCTTGGTCATCCTACAAATGCTGAACTATGTCGGCTTTTGACTATGAAGGGAGCACATGAGACCTTGATTCATCATGCTCAAAATCATGATTGCCCAGTATGCACGCAGCATCAGAGGAAACCTCAGGCACCTGTTTCATCAGTGCCCAATGCACAGGAGTTCAACACTCGAGTGCAAGCTGACACCTTGTGGATCAAAGTATCAAAGTCGGCAAGGGCACAGCCTGTGATGATGATCAGCGACACTGCAACACGCTTCTTGGGTGGCCGAGTCTTGCTGCGTGAATCACCAGAGGAGTTTGTACTGGCAATGGAGCGTGGTTGGATCAGGACATTTGGCCCAATGAAGATCCTACAAGTGGACGATCATCGAAGCTGGTCCTCAGACTATGTCAAGTCATGGTGCTCAGAAAATGGCATACAATTGCAGATTTCACCTGGACAGAGTCACACGAGACTCGCCATCCTGGAGAGAAGGCACCAAGTTTCCAGACGAGCAATCGAACTGTACTTGGCAGATCAACTTCAAGGAGATGTCCTTCAGCCCCACGAGCCAAGAGAACGACTGATCCAAGCACTATGCTACGTCATTCCGCAGATCAACCGCGGAACAAATGTGAGAGGATACAGTCCGGTGCAGTGGGTGCTTGGCTACACCCCGCATGTTCCTGGCTTGTTGACTGAGGAACCACTCTCCCTCTCAAGTCTGGACCCGTCCGATGAGTTCCTTCAGAAACTGCAGCGGGCAAAGAAAGCAGCAAATGCCGTATTTGCAGCAGATGTGGACACCAGACTTCGGCGAGCCCTCAACAGGAAGTTCACAGGACAACTGACCATCTTTCAGTTGGGAGATCTCTGCTACTACTACAGGGATGGACCAGGAGGCACTGGGCCCAAGCTTCGTTGGAGGGGACCAGCCCGGATCGTGATGGTGGAACAGCTGGACAGCGGACCACATACCACAATCTACTGGGTGGTACATGGAACCAACCTCCTGAGAGCAGCTCCTGAACACCTCCGACCAGTCCCTCCAGCAGATGGCCCAAAAGGATGATCCCAATGATCCCTACTTCATACAGATCAAGGAGAAGCTCCAGAATGTCTTCACATTCAGAGAGTGGCAAGATGGGGACAAGCTGGAATACTGTGGCAGCCAGATCAATTGCGAGAAGGGAGATGTCATCATTTTGGGACAAGAAGAATACATCCATAAGGTCAAACCGATTCCCATCATCAAGGAAAGGACATCACACCCTGACACCGATGTCACAGAGAAGGAGAGATCCTTGTTGCGAGGCCTCATTGGAGGACTGCAGTGGCCAGCGACCCAGACGGCACCTCATCTCCAGGTGGGAATCTCACAACTGGGAGGAGAAACTTCGAAGGCGACAATAGCAACGCTGCAGAGGGCAAACAAGCACCTTCGCTACGCCAAGGAGTATGCCGACGTGGGACTTCACTAGAAAGGAGAGACATGACATTCATTGTCTACAGCGATGCCTCTTTCGCTACGAGGCCTGACTTGAGCAGCCAAGGAGGATACCTGCTCGCCATGTGCCACAAAGATGTCGCAGATGGAAAATGTGAAGGGCACGACAACATTCTAGATTGGCGAAGCTGGAAACTACCTCGTGTGGCAAGGAGCACACTCTCTGCAGAGTCACAAGCAGCCAGCGAGGCCGCAGACAGTCTGATGTACACAACCCTGTTTTGGAACCTCATCTATCGTTCCCTGCTGCCGCTCGACAACATCAGCACTGGGCATTTGGACAACAGCCCAAAACTCATTGTCGATGCGAAGGCACTCTATGACATCTTGGTCAAAGAGGAGATCCAAGCAGCCACAGGTTCAGACAAGAGAACCACCATTGAAGCCTTGGTATGCCGCGACAAATTGGCATGCTGCAATGGGAAGGTGATGTGGGTATCATCTGAACTTCAATATGCAGATGGACTCACAAAAGACTCAGCTGCCCCGCTTTTGGGACAGAGATTGCGCTCCCACATGACCAAACTCAAGAGTGATGAAACATTTCAAGCATCAAAGAAGAAGAGTGTGGCAAGCAGACGAAAAGGGGAGAGCATGTATGCCATCAAGAGGCCAGAGAGAGCTATGTATATGCAATGTTCAGTACCTACTTCCTCAACACCGTGAACGCCCATGTGTACCACGAGGGAGACCACAGACCCCAGAGCAGGAACCATGAGACGGAGGAGTATGACGTGTTTGATTTTGCCATGATGATCCTGTTCACCATGCTCATTGGCATCTTCATGTGGTTTGGCATGAGGTTCAAGGATTACATCACTACATCGCGAACAAGACCTACTACAAGAGAATGTGGTGTACAAACCACGAGAACAGGACTCGAAGAGCAGCGATTGGTGGAATTGAGAAAAGAGAAGATCAAGCTCACTGATGAGGTGACCCATCTTCGTGATGAATGGGCCCTTGCAGACCAGCGCTTCCGAGATGGCCGTCAGCAAAGCCTTGCGCTACATCGGGAGAACCAGAAGCTGAAACAGGAGCAAGAAGACACCATCAAGCAAAAGCTCAAAGTGGCAAAACAGCGAGCTTCATTTAAGCCGGTCTATTTGGCAGGCTTGGGCGGATGCTGGCACGCCAGTCGAGATTGCGTAGCAAAGCGCACGGCAAATCTGGTGTACACACGTGAGCCTTGCAAGGCCTGTGCCCATTTGTTCTTTGAGAACTGCACTCCCACAGCCACAACGGAAGGCACTCATTGGGCACAAGGGACGCATGGTGATCTGTCCCGGATGCCGGCTTCTTCGGTCACGGACTGGTAGCCGAAAAGCTTCCGCCTTTCTTTTTGAATTTAGATGGACTGAACTCCTCTCACCACCCGTGTGAATTGTGCGCCGCACATCATGTCAGGAGTCACTTTTTACGTTCGATCGCGCGCCTCAAACCTAAGTGGAGGGCGTGCGCACCTCGAAGCCATGTGGATGCGAAAAGGGCCGTAGGTGAGCGGCCGACGACACTTCGAACTTCGACCAGGACTTAGTGAACCTGGAACCGGTTGGACGCTCCCGCTAACCAACACAATGTTATACACTTTACTGTAATGGGCTAAGCCGCTAAATTGTTTTCAGACCTCCAACTAAGATAGACCAAGATGGACATAATTGATTATAATTTACAATTGCTTTATTCAATTTAAGCACTTACTTTGCAAGATGGACCAAGATGGCCTGAATACCAGTTCAGACAATTTTTACTGAACATATTGGACTAAGACGGTCTTACTCACCCAAGTCTCCCTGTCGCCCCGAGGTAGACACAGAGTCCCCCCGCTGTGCAGGTCAGTCGGTGTCAGACACCTTGACACAGGCGGGATTGGGTGCCCTCACCCGCTCTGCTCGGGACGCCCAGGGCGCGCCCAGGGGCGTACGGACGGTCGACCTTTTTTTTCCGGTGGGACGGTATTTCCTGTGGAGCAGCGAACATGCACCTAGTGATCTCTTTTTCTATGGGCACCCATAGGATTAATTTAGCCATCCTTTTTTCAATCAAGCTCAGCTCGAGCCCACACTAATAAATTGTAGACCTGAATTTCCATATTGGCATCCTACATCATCCTACGCGCTACGTGTTGCCAATGGCTCATCAAACAAGAGGAAGCTGTAAAAGAAACATATGCCCTGATCAACGTTCTCAAAAAGAGAACCACACGGTCTCAGATGAATTCTCTCCATATTCCAGACACGACCCATGGGACTGCCATATATGGCAGCCAGGCCGGCCGCGCCCCGCGCCAAGCGCCGAGGCCAGCGCCTCGGAGATCCTGGCGGGGCCGCTGATCGCGCACCGCATGGGACCCCATTGGCCGCCGCCGGGGCCGGCACGACCCGATCCGCTGAAGACGCGCAAGGCGCGCGGCAACTGCGGAGTGGGGAGAGTGGTAAGGGTGAAGTGGTGAGTGGTGATGTGAATGAAGCGGAAGTCGTTGTCTCAATGCTTGGAAGTGCGGTGGAGAGCACCGGAGATCCGACGAAAGTGTTGTTGGAGGCCCGAGCACGACCGGTAGACATACAGTATATTATGACATTATATATATAGTTGTATGTATACACCCCCCCACACATATATATATATATACATACACATACAATAATCAGCACTTGAGTGCCACACGAGTGTCAGGAGCTCATGGCTTGGGGCGACCATCGTACCTTCGTGGAGCTGCACGCCAAAGACCGCAAGGCGTTAAGTTCTTACAGCCCGGCGGTGGAGCTGAGAGTAGACGGCACAAGGCACAAGGGTCCCCCCCGGACCTGGACCCCCATTAATTTGTCCAAGACCTCTTGGGGTGCCAGGGTCGAGTTCTCACCTTTGAAAGCACTCTAATATATATAGATGTTGTTTTGGGGGATCGCCGGCTTACCGGGCGCACGGAGCGCATTGAGCCTGAGAGGATCGGAGACTTGGAAATTTCTACAGACACCGACCGAAAGAAAGCACGGTAGTTTCAACATGGTTCAACACTCCCATCTTCACTTCCACCCCCACTGGCCTCCTCCCACTCGCCAGGCACAGAAACTGAAAGTTGGCATTCAGAGGGAGAAAAGCAATTGTTGAGGGAATGCTGAAGAACGCGATCAGCACAGTGCAAGACATGTTGGTCAAGATCTTTTGGCTACAGGACTTGGCGACGTTTTTGCTTATTTGCTCTTCACTCACACACCCGTTCGGTGCCACCCTTTCTGGGTTTCATGTTGTTGGCCCACCCTTTTGTATAAGAGAGCATGGAACAATCAAAGGCGTAGAACATACCTGGACCTTCCAAGGGCTGCCCAATGGAAACCCCAGCCCACCACTAAGGGAGCTCCATTGAACACCCCGAAAGAAGGTCCAGGTATTCATTATGTAAAATCGCCACGTGTCCTAGTTGCAGAGCCGCATCGGAGCCGAGTCAGCAGACTCCAACCTTTGCGAAGCAACTGGACCTTATGAGTCCGCTGACTGGTACCTTCTAAGGGACAGTCAGTTGTACCTGATGAAACCCTATAGGGATCCAGTTGTACCAGTTGTACTAGTACCTTCTCAGGTTCTGTACGGCTGGATCCGACCCAGGCACCTCCATAAACAGCCTCGAACACATTGCCTTCGGAGAAGGTACTTGGATTCCTATAGGGAAAGGTATGACAAGGATGATTCCCATCAAGTGTCGCAGTTGGGTCAGCGGGTTTTGGACTCTTCGCCGGCTCCCAACTCGCCCGTCCCAGTCCAAGCAGGCACCGGGTGAGATCTTCTACACCATCACCAGCATCCCCTGAGAGCTCAAATGTAGCATTTTCTTTCGCACGGTGCTGCTGGGTGTTTGGCAGATACTGGTTTCATGGCTGCACATGTGGCTGGTTCCACCAGTTTTTAGCATGTTTTGAGCCACCGGGCAGCTGACGGTTTTCGATGCTTCCTTGGAGTATTCTTCGATCCGTCGGTGTTGGTTGAAGACGAATCGATCCACCCCAGCTGGTCATCGACCGCGTAGGGACGTGATGAATCCGGGTACGCAGATTCCAAGTCCAAGTCCACTCGTTGCGGAGCAGCGGTTCGCAGTTTCATGATTATAAGCACTGGGTGGGGATGCACAGGCTGCTTCCCCCTAGGATTCGGATCCTATGAGTTGTGAAACTTGCATGGTTATGCAATGTTATGCATGGGCTTGTCAAGTCGACCATGGCTTATCAATGGGAACGATCTGGTTTTGTAGTGTAAAACCATTAGTAAAACAAGGGTGGTTCGGGATTCAGGCTATTAACAAAAATGGTGGGCCACGACTTGCAGAGGTTATGCATGGCTTGCAATACACACAAAGATGTTCAAATACTATCAAGTACTTTGAAGTGCTCCACTCTTGCAATACGCTCGGGGTACCCAGCTTCACACGCTGCCACCCTGTTTTGGTGGCTTTTTGGGGCGCCCGCGGCAGAGTCGCGAGGAAGGCTCAGAGGTTCAGCGTTGGCAAGCGAGGCAGAGGTGCGGTGGAAGAGACGTGCGAAACTACCCTGAACGAGGCAGAGGTATGACGGTCGTTATGTCCCATGATTAGCAGCAACGGTCGGTAATAGATCATCATCATTATTTTGGGGAATGGCCATCATCCACGGCATCATGAATCATCATCCACTTGTTTTGAATTGTTGGGGCTTCCTCCAGGCGTTTGAGCCTATATAGTTTTCCCGCCGGGGGGGGTTGGGGAGGGGTCGCCCTTTTTCCAGGCACATACAAGGAAATGGTCCGGTCGGAGGGATGTTTCACAACCAAAGGCCCGGCCGTTCACATGATTGGTACGTTACGAGCCGCCTTCGGTCATGTAAACCAACCTTGGGAACGGCAGGCTTGATCACACGCACTTTGCACAACTCAATTTTCTGAGGGCTCCACCTCGTACACTCTGCAGGTTGTTCCGTGTGATTCATCCGATCCACTGCTTGAAACATGTGCGTGATGTATCTCTACAGATCAGGTGCCAGTCTTGAGGCTCTCGGTTGCCACCATTGCTTCATGCACCAGACATGATGACCCATACTGCCTTTGTGGCATTTTGCGGTCTCACAGCCATCCTCAAGGGATGGCATGGAGTGGAGAATGGCATGGTTCATGCCCTGAGACATGGAAAAGATGCTGCGACATGGAAGCCTGCCCAGGAAGTTCGTGCATCACCTGATCACCTGCAGCTCACCTTCTTGGGATTGGGAGACCCCCACTCAAATTCAGCAGATGGACAGTTCGGTAGTTATACCTCCGATTGTCCAGGAAATCTCCGGCCCTTGCGGTGTTGTAAAGCTCCTTGTGGTGGCTGTCCCCCAACTTCCTTCCAGGCTGCACATGTGTGGGGCGTTTTGCACCGTAAGGCTGCATGTAAAAATCATGGCAAATCAATGAGCACGATTCTTCACAGGCGCAGCTGATACCAGCTGTGCAAACACCCGCAACTTTATCACTTTTGTTTCCCAGGCATGGATGATGGTAGATATGTCCAGACACGTGAGTCAATGAGGTCAACGCCCTGGTATAACCTACCACAGTGCCTTGATTTGCTGCATGACTTCTTTCATTTGTTTATGTATGCCACCTTGTAACACCTGACATCAATCCTACAAGCTTTGCAAGTGGGAGTGGAACGGTTTGGAGTTTGGACTGTTCAGTCCACCCCTCCAGGCAGTTCCCAGACGAGGAGGGCTTCCATACCCCAAAGTCTTCATTGGTTCATGGATGCTCTTGACATCTCTTGACCTTCGTCGAACATATCAAGCTATATATATATATAAGATGACCTACAGACCGATGACCTACGCTTGATGGAAGAGCACCATGCGAGATATACAAACCATCTGAGAGAGAGACGTCCTGTGCCTTCCCTAATTGAAACCAAAACACACGCAGACTGGGAGACGTCCAGAGCTTCGATGAACAAACTCCAAGTGCCCCAATCTCCTGACTGCCCCCGGCTTCTATTGTCTACGACTGGGACTCTCATAGAAGCCACTCTCCAAAACCTCCTCACCCATCGTGTGCTTCTTGGAAGTCGTCCCGGCACGCAAAGCCACCGCTGACCCGCTACTACTGTAGGCAGCGATGTCCTTCAAGGCACAGGCGCTACGGGGCGTGCTGGAAGAAGCAGATGGTTTCGGTTTGGCGGTTGAAAAGCCCAACAAGTTGATGTAGGCTTCGACCTTCTAAGAAGGTCTGTGGATCAGTACGGATCCATGACCTCGAACAGGAGTCACCTCGAAGCCTTATGATAGTCTCTTATAGTCGAAGGTGACCTCTTGTTTGCTGGAATCTCAAGGCGCTCATGGATTGAAGGTCCTGGTTTATTTTGTCCATGTTGTCAATTTGTTATTCGATACCGATACCGGCCCTCGTTCCAAGTTCCAAAGAAGTCCAACAGCAAAAATGACTCACTAGAGTTCAAGGATAAGTGGAGAGGTTCAAGATAAGCATGAAACCTGAAAGCAGACCTTTGGAATGCCTTTCACTCAATCACACACACGGGTAATCAGGTCCCGATCTTCCTTGAAGCTGTTAGTTAAGGCCAGAGCATAAGCCACAGGCTGTTTTGTTCCAGGGTGGTGCATCATGGGCTGCCATTGACAGGGTTGTGTTTTTTTTGGCACCGTCCAAGAACATCATTCAAATCAGCAAGATGTTGGGGCACCATTTGGCTCTGTTCCTAAAGGCAGGACGCCCTCCAATCGCATAGAGGCCTTTCGAAAAGGAGATCTTGGCGCAATATATTTTTTCCGGAGTGTTCTTCCAGCAGAAGCACCAACCGAAACCACTGGACTTGAAAAAACGGTACCATTGAACACCTTAGACATCGACCCTCAGTGCGTTTGATCAAAAGATTGTTTCTCGTAGTGTGGCTCTTTCTGCACGTTGCATTGTTGGGGTGGTACCATGTGGTATCTAATTTCGAGGAGATATCGGCATACCCTTTTGATCCCTTTTGTATGAAGCTTGTTTATGCTGTTCAGTGACATTTTATTCGCGGCCTACCTTTTTGTTCGAGGCCTTTTGGCTAGCGGTGCGTCAGCGTAACGATAAGATACAATGAGGATATCCTGGATCATTGATCGGCAGGATTGGTGCATACAACAGATCAGAGATGCGCTAAATCAGTGAAGTTCTTTTTTGGAATGGGCGGTGAACTTTGATGTGCATGGGCACCCCATTATCTCATGTTGTTTTTTTTGCTCTCTTTTGCCTGAGGCGTCATTGTGCAAGTCGATAGGTTCAGGGACATCGCTAGTCAATGACAGAACGGATGGAGATGAACAGATGTTTTTGCATTGGACACACGTCACTTGCGATGTAATTAATTATGTTTAGTTGAAGGCTTGGTGATCAACGGATGGAGTGTAAGAAACCTTAATGGTAATCATCAACAACATTGGAGGGAAGGGACTATATAGTCCCTCATTCCAAACACCAGTTGCCAGTTGTCTTCGTCTTGAACATGTTGTCGATTATTACTTGTGGATATGTCAGTGTTCCATTGAAGCCCTTGGACTTTCATAGTTCCTTTGCTTCAGTATCTTCAGTGACTAGAACGCCCCAGTCTCCCACAGTTCCTCGCCCTTCTGCGAGTTTCCTCGGCCTTCGCTGGGCCATGGCGCGATGCGACTGCGCGCCCCAACGCCATGCGACTGCGTGTCACGGCTGGGGCAGCTCATCAGCGGGCTCTGCGCAGTGGGCGTCATGGCCGCGAACTTCCAGTTCCCTGTGCAGCATCTCGGCGGCAAGAATCCCAGTCATACCAAGCTGATTTTCTGTTTGACTGTGAAAAAATGGAACAACTGCTGGTACATGCACATGGAGGTCATCAGCCACCCTGGGAAAACACGACGCGTTGCATTCGGTTGACAATTCTATGGTGATGCTACAACTGACTGCATCGAATTGCGGGTGTGTTTGCACCACTTGATGCATTTTCTCAAGGCAGACGACTGGCAACCACCTTGCGTACAAAAGCGGCTTGGATGGCAGATGACTGGAAGGCGTACCAGGGCAGGAGTAGGACAAAGTTTCGGGCTGGTGAGATCTAGCCAGTGCTAGCATCATGTAGCATAATTTGGACGTTTTCAAGAAGGCATACACACAAAACGCATGAAATAAAGTTGCTATGGCTGTGTTACGTATAGGCTTATTCCAGGTACCACCATCGCAGACCTTTTGAAAACACTCCAAGCATAATATATGGTCTTTACCCTAAGGCCCTCAGGGTCACGCGAGCCGCTAGCGGCTAGCTAGGGTGTCCTTAAAACCGTGATTCTTCGGGGCCAATTTGGTTTGTCCTTTCTCAGCTAAATCAGCTGCCCCTTGGCCAAACCAAATCGGTTGCAGTTCTTAGGCCACGTGGAGAACCTTTGTGTGGACATCGTGCAGTCCGATGAGAAGCCGTGCTCTGTGCAGCCTGGCGGTGTGAGAGAGGGTGAATAGCTTGGGTTTGAATAGCTCGGGCTTGCTCTCAAGGTGCTAACGCGAGTCTTCCTAAAGAAGCCATGTATTAGGGCAGGGTGAGAATCCGCAAGGAGAGACAAGACAATCCGACAAGGTCGAACACAATGAGCGTTCAAAGGACCCTGTCCCACCAGGCAGCCCTAGCTGCTCTGAAGAGGACTTGGAAGAAGTTCAGGTTTCCTTTCTCTAGCCAACAATTGCGGCATGTTAGGGTCTCGAGGACTGCATAGGCATTTGGTTGGCAGAACGATCCGAAGTTCAACCGCTCATCTTCAGTTGTTCAACTGATCCTCCAACTGCCAGGGCCCCAGGCCTTTCCCAAATGTTCTTCAGATCTCCCTAAAAGCTGTTCCATCTTTTCATGTCGAATGGACTTGCTTTTGCAATTTCTTTTGCAAGGATGATTTGAGATTTGAAGTATGGCCAACCAATGCAAGCAAGCCAAGACTCAAAGACTATAGGCATCACCCACCATCACCTCACACCCTCAAATCATTAGGGCCGACCGCTTCACCGCAGTCTTCCCCACGGGGGCCGTGCTATCCGACCGCTGCCCACCTTCGCAGCCGCCCAAAACGCTTCGCGCGCCGCGCAAAACGCGCGAAGTTCGCCGCGCACGCGGTCAGGTCGGAGGACTGCTCGGCCTTGACGGACTACGAGTGTTGGCAGCTCTATGACTCGAAGGTCCAGGAGGTTCGACCGGACCTTTTGAGAGACCGGACAGAGAAGAGGGGACCGGCGTGGGGACGGACTGGTGTGGTGGGAAGAGGTGAGGGGAAGAGGTGGGAGGGGGTGGTGGGGAGATAGATGCGCAGAGACGTTGAGGTGTAGGATTGGGTTTGCCAAGCCCAAAGCAATTGGTTGAGTTGTACTATTAAAAATTACTACCCTGGAGTGCAGTGCTTGGAGGCCGAGGCCAACCTCACAGCACAGAAGTCCCACCCCAAAGTCGTAGAGTCGACCTTAGAGTCCATGGGGTAGGAAAATGACTCCGACCAGACGGACGTTGTTTGATACATCTCACCCAGCAGTCTAGAAGTACGGATATGAACCATGACCAGCAGATCCCAGACCATCCATGATACTCGAACATAGTTACAGTACCTACATTGGGGTCGTACATGTACGTAACTATTCCAGTCCCATACCCAGACACGACTAATGGGACTGCCATATTTACCGCAGGTGGTTGGTTTGGAGTCAATGTATGTAAATATGCCATACCAACAGAGGTTGAATGACCCAATAGAGACTATCCCAGTTCGGTACCCCTGATGACGGGTCCTATTTACGGTCACTTCACCTCTGTTGGTACATACAGTGTGAGGGATTTGGATAGATGGCCTGGGGACCTCGGCGGTGCGTGCACGGCCGACGAGGTGCCCGGGGGTGTCGAGATGCAGTTGGATGGCCACATTAGCTGGATGTCCTTCATCGGCTGCGGCGAGGGCACCTGCCCTTGGTGCACGCGCCTCGGTGAAAGGAAAGAGACCCGACCTGTCTGGGACTGGAAAGGATGTTTACATTCACCCCGAAAAAACCATGGCAATGTAGGCAAATATGGTATGGAATGTTTGGGGTATGTAGGCAAACCTGCGGTTGAAACAACTACAACAGCGCGGTCAGTGACGATGTGAAGAGATTAAGTGGTGGAACCTCTTTTTGGTTGGCATATGTTGGATATTCCCTGCAAGATGTCATAGATATCAGATATCAGTGAATATATACCATGTACATCCATGTGCACGGCTAGCCATGGCTCGCTCTCTTTTACCTGTCCGCCCCGGTACGGGGCACCGGACCGTGCGCGCGCTCGCTCCACCGTGGTGCCAGGAACTATCGGAGCTGTGTGGGGCCCATGGTGGAGACCAACAGCTTGGAGGTCCTGGCAGGAGAGCTGGGCGACCTGGGCGCGCAACCTGGGCGCTAGCTCGTGGTCTCCAAACTGGAACGGAGTCATGGGGGATTTTGGGACACCGCTTTGTCAGAGTCTGAGCACTCATAAGGTCATTTGTTGGGTCCTGAGGTCCTGGGATCTATAAGTGGTTCAGGTCCTAAGTCCGATTCCGGCAGTTGTTTTGGCATGTGTTGGCCCAGTCGAGCGTCCGCGGTCATCCTGCAGGCAATTGCATCATTTGGGAGTACAACACCCAAGGCAGCGCAGATGCCTTCGAGGTGCGATGCGTTTTTTTTTGGCTTCGGCCAAGCGTGGGAGATCATGGAGATCATGGAGCCCAACTTTGGATTTGCTTTGGACTTTGGTGGACGTGTTCTATAGTCAGTTAGGACTCCTAACTTCGGAGGGAGCGACAGCTCATGCAAGGAATTGAAGGGGCCATGTTCCCTCATGGTCCATCCACGGAGGCATGGATGCTTGGTCTTGAGTCGGCTTAAGCTTCATCCATGTGCCGCACGAGCTTTTGGGCCTTGGAAGTCCCACCCGGCGATCGAGCGGGTGATGAACACCCATGAACTGCCTTTTTCACCACTGACACTGTGTTCAACTTTAGTTACAACATGTTACAAATGCATGCCGCATTCATTGACAGAGTTAACTTAAAGCATGTCACACCACTCCCTACTTCATTCACAGGGCTACTGCCTCTTGAGAAAGGATTTGGAGTAAGATGGGGCCACCGTGTGGAAAATAGACATCTGGTTAGGTCGCCTTCGGTCCAACTTCACCAACTGCCGCCTTGGTTTTCACCTTACCTTACGGTCCCCCAAAGGACCGAAGCTTTGGAAAGCACCAGCCTGGGCTTTCTGAGACTATCTTAGTTGGTTGACCTGGATTTGAAAAGTCATTTTAGTTTGCAAAAACCCAGGGCTTTTTGTGGGATTCCACCCCTTCCATGGTGCGAAGTGCATAGAGGTGGGCCAGCAATCCACCGAACCAAGCAGAACGCCGCGTCGTTCGCATCGCGCCGAGCATCGCGCTTCGTGACCAGATCTTCGTTGGTGCCTTCAACACCTCGCAGCTGCTGAACTCCTCGCTGCAGCGGGGCGACCTGCGGCTGGCAGCTGGGGCGAGGTCGAGGAAGGGACGGGATGAGATAGGGAAAACGTGGAGTGGAAAACCTGTCAGATGTTATGGTATGCTCAACCATGTTCAACCTTCGACTGGGATGATGGAAACCTATTGACACCACTGACTCATGTTTGTCAAGTGAGGTGAAACCATCAACCCGAAACGGAGGTGGGAGAAGATGGGATTAAGACGGTGGGTGGTCAGGACTCAGGTGTGAAGACCTGAAGACCGGCAGATCTGGGCATGGAGGGGGGAATTCGAGGTCTTCGAGTTGGTTTGGAGATGTTTTTTGGACCGTAGAGCTATTTGCCATCGATGGACCTTTCGGTGTGGTTTCTGTTTGAGGTCTACCTACTCAGACTCTTTCCTCCATGTGGCCTTTATCATATTTAGCCTACTTTTCCAGCACAGCATTTTGCTTCTCAAGATGTCTCAAGCCTTCGTAGGGATTGGGTGTATTGAAATATAGGGAGCGGGAGACCTTCCAAAGACCCCGTGGAAGAAGGACAACGGATCAAAACCCACTACTGGTTAGGTGTCCCCCGTGTGTCCCCCATTAACATACACACCCATTAAGTTGAGGACAAACAAACGCAGCTGTGGTGATCTTAGTGACTATATAGTGGTTTCAGCTTCTGGCTGGGCACACTCCTAAGGGCGATGAAGAGAGAGAGAGAGGGCTACAGCTGCAGCTGTTGAGATCAGCCCTGCACAATGGTCTGCACTGCCCAGACGCGACCCTGAACCCTTCTAAGTAGCCGGACCCGAATCCTCTGGAGGGGTCCGGACCTGAACCAATCCCTCCTTAGGGCTTTTGAGGGACCAGTCGAGCTGTGAACGGAGCATCTGAGATAGCTTCCAAGCTGGGTCAGCTGAGGATTGGTCCTATGGCCAACTGGCCTTTCCCAGCGACGACCTCGTGTTCCTTCGCCTCTTCCTGGCCTCCTACGACGCCAGCGGCGGCGGCTTGGTGGGCGCCACCCTGCGGGTCCGCTACCTCCGGACGGCGTGGCTTGGACGCGGCTAGGGGTGAGGGAGAGACGAATGGGTGAAGCGTGTGGCGCAGGAGTCACAAGACAGGATGGGGTATTTTTTGGGTCCCATCCAGTGTCTGGAGAAGATGGACACCCCATGACACCCCTATCAATCCTTCAAGATAGGCACCCAAAGTCTTGTGACTCCTAGCTTGTGTTTCTTGGTGGTTTCGGGAGGGACGAAGGGTAGGGGCTTTATATGGCTTCATCTGGTGGGGCCCGGGGCCGACGATCCGATGGCCGTCCCGGTCCGTGTGAGACGTCGAGACATCCAAAGACTTGGTAAGTCACTTTCTTCTTTTGGTAAAGTGATGCGATCATATACCAGCACCCTCCTGGCCAGGCTGTTAGTTGAGGGTTGTTATATACCTGGACCCTCCAAAGGGTGTCCTGGCTGGACTACCCCACACTACCTATAGGCTTCCATTGGGCACCCCTTGGAGGGTCCTGGTATGTGTTATGATATGATATGCTGATTATAGTGCGGATTATAGTGCTGATGATATATCCCAGACACGACCCGTCTGGGACTGCCATAGGACTGCCGCCCCATTGACCCCCCAAACCACCCCAATGATCCCCAATGTAACCATACACGGCAGTCCCATGGAGTGTCTGGGTATAGGCAGGATATAGGCCGGTTCACAACTCATGCAACTCCTGACAGGGTTGGCCATGTGACTCAGGCCATGCTTGGATGCTGAAACCCTACTGGCAGGGCCTCCGGCCTCCACGACCAGTAGAGACTGGGCTTCGCTTTCAGCGATGGGTCGATTCGGTCCCAGTCAGTCAGTCAGTGGACCTGCAAAGCCTTTTTTGGGGGGATTGGTTTCCCCAGACTACTGGTAAACATGAATAAGGTTAACTACTAGTAGTCCACCCAGTCAGAGCCTGTCAGAATATCAGTTGATATCAATTGTAACCCAGTCAGTTAACTTCCGGAAAAAAAAGTTAACCTCCAGCAGTCACAAGACGGGGTGCTATCCATGGAGCTAGTCGGGGTGCGCAGCTACTCCACTCACTGGATGGGACCAAACACCACCCCTTTCTTTGCGAACTCCTGGCTGGAACATGTTTGAGGGAAACTCGGGAAGTCCCTGCACGATCTGCAACGCCTGTCAGAGCTCAGAAAATCAGTCGTCCACCACCGGCCCCACGATGTTCACCCAAACACATCCCTGTTCACAGTGCACTATTTGTTGAGTCACCATGCCCTACCATTAGAGGGACCAAATCCAGTGCCACCAACTGTTTCCCTCGACCATGGATACCATGTTTTGGAGCGACCGGGGGAGCCTGGTCCAACGCAACCAGGCACTGTCGTCACGAGCTCATCCACCTCCAGCTACACCAGCTCTTCCACCTCCTTCACTGACACCAGTAGCAGCAGCTCCAGCAGCAGCTACTCGGTTGCGGGGAGGCGCTTGGAGGATGTTTTCACGTGCGCATGTATCACCAGCCCTTCTTATTTGCAGCATCAGGTGGCCCTTTTTGGTGCGAGAGAAGCACCACCCTGCAAGGGTAGCAAGGGTACCAAATTGCAGTTGTTTGCATTTCACTTCCTCACATGGCTACTGGATGGATACATTTGAGTCCGGCTATGAACGCTGTAACTGACTTGGACCACTCTGCAGTAGAGCCCATTACTTTCATGAAACGATCTTGCAGCGACTCACACGACTTGTGGAAAGTGAAGGCGCCCGCAAGGACATTAAGCAAACCTAAGTGAAACGATATTGCCATGGACTCCACGGAGCGACTCCTTTGGGCCTAGAAGGGCAGTTCGGAGATGTCCAGCAGCTCCTGCTAGAAGGTACGACGTCCACGTCCAGCACGTCCAGCAGCTCCTCCAGCTCCACCGTGTCTCGGCTTCAAAGCGTTCCGCGGAACCGGAACGCGCCGCCCCTGTATCAGACAGGGTGTGAACATAGCTGGTTCCGTTTGTGGATCTATATATATCCCTAGGGATCCAAGTACCTTCTCAGAAGGCACGTGGACCTTCCAAACCCACCCCAAACACCTTCTGAGAAGGTACTTGGATCCCTAGGGTATTGGGAATGTCCTATTGCCTGTGAATAACCTTTGGTCAACAATTATCACTATTTTAGAAGAAGGCCTTTACCAACCATCATCATCCACTGTTACAGGGCCCCTCAAGGAATAAGATACACAGACACACACGAGTTGAGAACACCATGGAAGTTGGCCCATGGAAAGAGCGTTTTTTTCACCCCAAACAGATATCAATATATAACCCAGACACTCCATGGGACTGGAATATTTGCCGATCAATTGACCCTTTGGCACCCCCCCAACTGATCGGCATACATGTATGGTAGACATGGAGTGTTTGGGTCATGTTCAGAACACGTACCAGGACCTTCAGTTCGTGACCTCTTTGGAGTCTGTAAGTGGCCTCTTTATGGACTAAGTGACCTCAAACTGGGATCTCCAAAGGTCACGAACTGAAGGTCCTGGTGGATGATTCTTCGATGATCGCAACCGACGTTTTTTCGGAGCTTTCGCCTCTCCAGCGGGGCAGCGGTGATCATCAGGTTCTGGGAATGCACGTGGTCAAGTCCACCAGACAAGACATGTTCCACAAGAGAGAGAGAGAGAGAGAGAGGGGGGGGGAGAGAGAGCGCCCAGCTCAAGAGCCCGCCACGCACTGGCGAGTCGTGGCACTTGATGGGACGTACGCGTCCCGCCTTCATGTGCAGGTTTTGGGAGATCACCACGGTTTCCGTGCAGATTCAATCTAGGGAAACTAGACATCTGAACATTTTGCGCCGAGCAACCGACAATGCACATGTATTGCTGTTTTGTAGTTCGAGTTAAGGCCTGCCCACCAAGGCGTCTTCAAGCTCCACAAGTAGCAGCTCCACAAATTCCAGGCACAGACACGGAGATGAAGTTCATCACTTGCCAATTCATATTAGTGCAGAAGTTTTCCAAGAAGTGATCAAGACCTGCTCCACTCGGCAGGTCCACCACTTCCCAACGCCTCACTAGCTCCAGCACGACCTCCACCGTCTCCTCCACGAGCACGACGAGACCGGGCAGCGGAGCAGCGCAGGCCGCGGAGTGCAGCACGGGGATCTCGGAGCTTTGGATGGCAAGGGGTTGGGCCGAAGGGCTCGACTGAAGGGACGGGGATGAGGGAAGCCCCCAAGAGTCTCCCGGAATGGATGCTCTCAGGTATACTCTCATTCTCTACTGAGCACCAGGCATTTGGCAAGTGATCTCAGGGGTGCAGGAGGGTGCCAATAGGCAGCTTTTCAGGTCCCAGCTGGGTTTGGATATTGAAAGTGCTCACCTAGATGTCCTGGAGACTGTGGGTATACCCCATGGTATACCTCTGGTGGTGGGGATTCAACAGGTCCTTTATAATATATAATATATAATCAATTACAGTACAACTTTGATCAACTTTGCATTGAACCTTGTGGGCGAATTTGATCGAGTTTGCTCCAACTCCCATCACTTTCCATGACATTCCCTGAAGTTATCATGGAAGTGGATGACACCACCTGTTTGGTATTCGGAACATGGTCATGCAAGGGGCCATGCCATCCACATAACCATGATGATTTCAGGGAATGCAGCGAACAGTAGAAGCACTTCCAAGTTCCATGTTGGACTTCCACGTTCCATGTCGAACTTCCACGTTCCATGAAACCTATGCTTTTCTAAGGACTTTCTCTTGGTGGTTTTGGCCCTGGGCGCCTTCTTCCTCCTGCTGCTCCTCACGGCCTTGTGCCGAAGAGAAGCACCCAACTCCTCAAAGGCGGTGGTGCCTGAGGGGAAGCTCGAGGTTCTGTGGCTCAGCTGGAAAATTACGGTAATCAATTCGGATGGTTGATATCAACAGATCCTGGAACACAAAACGCGAAAAAGCCGGTGTGAACAAACATTATCTTCACGATTCTTTAGTCTTCTTCACTCATGTTCACTCTTGGGAGGGGTTTAAGGGTAGCCCAAAGTTGGATGGAAAGCTTCCTCTGGTGAATGTGACATAGTGTGACATTCATATTGGGGAGCATCATTGAATCATGTATTCACTCTCGACTGAATCTGTAGAATACCAACACATTTTGCCAAAAAACATGTTCTCACCCAAGAGCGCCTTCCGCCGCTCTTCACGCGAACCGGGGGGGCTCATGGGAGAGGAGTTCATGCCGTTCCTGGGCCGAGGATGCAAGTGCTGCGGAGCTTTGGCCTGGAGGACTCAGAAGATCTCAAGGCCGGGCTCTTCCGTGGAGCTAAGCGCACGTGTGGAGCTTGCGCATGCTGGGGTGGTGGAGCAGATGGTAGCAAGCATGCGCAAGTAAGCCCGGGGTTCAGAGGTGGTTCATATGTCCGGACTGTGAACAGCTGTTTCGCGATGCAGTTGATACCCCCATGGTCAACTCAGCTTCTTGCACTATCTCATGCGGTTGCGTATGACGCGGTTTTGTTGGACCATGTAGTTGGCCCACGGCTGATAGACGGCCGTGGTGTTTTCTTGCATTTTTATTGATTTTTCGTTTTCTACGCTGTCGTTTTTGCATGTTTGCTTGAGGGGGATGTGGATGCTACATGTGGGAATGGGGTGGGGGGTGGGGTGGGGTGGGGCATGTTAACGTTCGGTTGCACTTGCTGCATGAAGT